TGATAAGAGCTGGTCGTTGAAGGGATTCCATTAACACTGCAGATTTTTTTTGTGACTAAACATAGACTTATTCTTTAGGCAGATGCTCGCTCCGGGGCCCCAGCGAGTGGCTGTATAATATGCCTGATTAGAGAGCCGCTGCTGTTCAATAATTTTTCTGAAACTTAAACGAATGCTGGAACGCGTCCAGGGGCGCCCGGGTGACAACCGCCGTGTCCATGACCGAGTGCCCGACTTTTTAGAGGTGGTGACACCCCTGCAATGGTGTCACCCGGGTGCAGTTCGCACCCCCCTTGTGAGGCCACTGACCGCGTCACTTCCGGTGACACGGTCTCAGCAGTTGGAGGAGTGGTATGCTCAGTGCGCATGCGCCCTTGTTCTATAATTTTTTTCGACCCATAAAAGTTCTTCTTCTGGTGCGGCTGCATCATCCATATCAGCTGTTTTTCTGACTCCCTTTCTTCATGCCCCTGAGCACCTGGAAGTGACACGGGCAGGAATGTTACAGGCCATTCGCCAGGTGGTGTCAGAGATCCTGCTGCTGAAAATCAGGGCCAGTCCGCGGGACAAGGAGCTGTGGGTGCAGAGGCTGAAGGAAAACCGCTGATTCAGATGACGTCGGGAAAATTATAGAACAATGGTGCATGTGTGTTGAGCCTATCACACCTTGAACAGCTGAGTTTGCGTCACCAGAAATGACATGGGCCAGCATTCTTATGAGGTCCGCAAAAATTATAGAACACCAGCGCCTCCTGATTGTGTTCAGCCCGGCCGGCCCGGATTACCATCGGGCTTACTAAAGCGATCCTGACTGGGCAGGCCTATTTTCAATGGTGAGCGTGGAGCTGGGGCTCCAGTAGCCCCTAAGTTAATCCGGCACTGCTTACAGGCAGCAATACAAACCTGACAGGTGTTCTAATCCCTCTTCACTCTATCCAAATATATAAAAAAAAAAGTTTTGCCTTCAGTTGCACTTTAAAAAAATTAAAGCAATTGTTCATTTTAGCAAACTACATGTCATTCCATGAGGGAGGAAATCCTGCAGAAATCTGCTCCATCCAGGCATGTCTATAACTTTATTCCCTTCTTTGTACAGGACCGATGATGCCCCATGTATCATGTATATGAATATAGGAACAGAGATGCCTTTACAGAGGAGACTTCTGTGTCCCCTGCTGCCTTTTATACACTCTCCTTGCACCCATGACAACCCACATACATACGTGTGGGAAGACACGGAGGCATCTTGCTCAGGGCAACCAGGGGCCTCTCCGGAGAGGAAGAAAAGGCAGGGCAGAGATTCTACTCGCTGGCTTCATAGCAACAACAAAAGCCACCGAGACATAATTTCCATGTATGTGTTTACTGGGCAAACATCACATGAAGGATGACATATACCCTTCCACAGATGATCAGTGCCGTGCCGGCACGTTCCACCACATCGCCTTGTATTAATGTCTAGTATGCCCCCTGATGCTAATTAGGGGGATTTAATGTGACTGACTTGCTCTTGGATTTTGCCTGTAGGGACGACTCCCAAGAATAAGTCCAGACACATATGTAGAGATGAAGCAGATATTACCGAGCTGCTTTTTTGGGCGCAGGGAGCGGGTGATTGGTGCTGATCCTGGCGTAAAAATAGCCAATACTTTTGGCGAGGAGAAGGATACTTCATGTTGAGGTTAGAGGTCAGGGAAAGGGGTGAAGGATGAAGTTAGGGGTAGATAGTTGGTAAGGTTGAATGAAGACAAAGGTCCATCCAGTTCAACCTGTATGTGCATGTCACTAATGGTAGTGTACTAGTGTGTGTGTGTGTGTGTGTGTGTGTGTGTGTGTGTGTGTATATATATATAT